ATGCCTGGCGCTCTCCACCGGGTTGACTGTCCATTGGATGACAGTCTAGGGGAGATGGCTTAACCCTGATTCCAAACCTCCAACGATTGGCGTATGAAGCTCACTGGAGCTCACCGGCAGACGTATGGACAAATGGCTTGTTGGATGTCCTGGATGTCTGGCCCCATTCAAAAAGGCGTATGAACCGAACTCCGGTCATCGGCTGCCAATGGATAGTGGACTCCTTACTTCACTCCTACTGCCTTGTAGGTCACACTTGGTTGTGTAAAGGCTAGAGCTGCACTCTCAAACAAAAGGCCGAGCGATGCTGGGGACATCACTCGTACCAAATTCCCATGAAACTTCATGAACTCTTTTACAAATTGCCACACCTGGGCAGCGATGATTCGAGACGTTCATGAAGCCGGCTCATCCTCCCGTAGGAGATAGCCGAAGTAAAGTAAGTAAGTAAGTTCACATCAAACACTATATTGAACTACATTTTCAGCAGACAAGTGCAGCTGTTGAAATTACCATACTTCATAAAAGTACACATAAAGCTGGAGAAAAAGCAAATGCAAAGAGACCATAGAGCTGTTTCGTCATAGCCTACAACTCTTTATCAGCACGCACCCACCATCAGGGTTAGAACCCAGGACCTTCAATTTGCAAGGCGAGCTCGTAAACCATTATAAGCCATTGGGACCCAACCCAATGGCCAGTACATGAATTCCAATTTCTTCCAATTCACGATATACCGCGACCACTAACCAGTGTCATCTGTCTGTCTGGATTCAACATAGAACTTGGCACCGAAGTGCAGCAGTTCGAGTTGCCACGTTCCAAATAGCACACAGAGGTAGACAAGAAGATGAGTGAAGAGAATTAATAGAGTTTGACAAATATAAGAGTGAAACAGAATGGGTAATGGTAGAAAGGAATATGAAAGATTACAGAGATTGAATACATCTGCGCCATTGACAACGATTTTGAGCCATGTCACCTATTGTCTCCAGCCATTGATTCCTAGAGTCCCGAGGGCCCCAACCCGGGAGTCTGCATCTCCCTACCTGACTCAGTTTAACTGTCAAGGATTTCATGGATTGATGCCATGTTTTTGTTTGGCCACCACTGGCTCTTTTCCAACCTGAACCTATATCAGCTAACAATGCCCGTCGGGGGAGGCGGTGGTTAGGCATGCGCACCACGTGACCTAGCCATCTTAGTCTATGTAACTTTATAGCCTCGTCGATTGATTTTCCCTCTTTGCCCAACACTCTACGCCTAACGTCAACATTACTTATCTTGTGAAACCACCTAACGTGAGACAGAGATCGCAGACATCTATGATCGAAAGCAGTCAACCTTTTCATGTCTTCAACGCGTATTGGCCATGTTTCAGAGCCATAGAGAAGGACGGAGCGAACTGATGAGCAGTACACACGTCCCTTGGTTGATAACCGGATGTCACGCCTACGCCAGAGATGGTGTAAGTCAGCGAAAGCAGCTCGAGCTTTTCGGATCCGTGCTGAGATTTCATCGCCAATCAGTCCGTTGGTGCTAATACAACTTCCCAAGTAGGTGAAGTGGTCAACATGTTCTATCACTTCACTCCCTATCACTAAGTTAGGGGTTGACGTCGTCCAGTCCTGTAGCAGCATCTTACATTTTGCAGGGGCGAATCGCATGCCAAACATACGAAGATTGCTGCTCAAGGTGTTCAGAAGACTCTGCATTTTGTCAGCATCCTCCCCTAACAGGACTATGTCATCTGCATATTCTAAGTCCATAAGATTATTCCCTGGTAACAAGTCGATTCCTAAGTCACTACGTTCAGTTAAGGATACTTCCATTAGCATATCTATGATGAAGTTAAACAGAAATGGGGAAAGTGGACATCCCTGTCGGACACCACTGGTTGTTACCAATTCAGATGACAATTCCCCATAAGCCCTTACACGACTACGTGAGTTTGAATAGAGTGCCTTGATTAGTGCAATGTACTTTCTTGGCACTCCCTTCACAGTCAGACATTGCCATAGTACCTTTCGATCCACGGAGTCGAAGGCCGCCTTCAAGTCAAGAAATATGACAATTGTTGGACGCCGAAAAGTGTGTCTATGTTCTAGAATCTGTCGAAGAGTGAAGATATGATCTATGCACCCTCTACCTGGTCTAAAGCCTGCTTGATTTTCCCTTGTCTGTTCCTCCCGAGTTCTGCTTAGTCTATGCATGATTACTGAGCCTAGGATTTTAGAGACTATGTTCGTTAGGCTGATCCCCCTATGATTATCACACGAGGACTTGTTTCCCTTCTTGAATATCGGTATAATAAGTGACTTACCCCAGTCTGATGGTACTGTCTCTGATTCCCAGACTTTGCCTAGTACCTCAGTTAATCTACAAACTAGTATGTCACCCCCATATTTAAACACCTCCGGAATAATTCCGTCGGGTCCTGCCGCTTTGCCTCGTTTCAAATTACTGATAGCTTTTGTAACCTCACCTACAGACGGCGGACCAGTGTCTATATCCCATTCGGGTACGTGGTGGATGGCGGGGAGGTTCAGTGTGGCTGTAGGCAAGTTAAATTGTTCCTCAAAGTGTTCTTTCCAGCGTTCAAGGCGTCTATCCTGAGAGCTAATTAAGGAGCCATTTTTCTCAGAAATAGTCTCACTTATGAATTGCCTTTTCCCGCCCGATTCTGTGATGAGTCTAAAGAGTTGCCTAGTGTTGCCTATCGCCAATGCTTTTTCCATCTCTTTCGCCTTTGTCACCCACCACTGTTCACGGTCCTTGCGGAGACTTTTAGTAAGTTTCCTTTTGTGCAGCTTTCGCTCCTCATTGAATTCGGAGCTCGCCGGAATAAGTCTTCTAGCATCTATCAGTTCGGATGAGGCAGTCGAAATCCAGTGGTTTTTACTCACCTTTGGATTTGTCTTATTCACAGCTTTTACAGCTGTATCTATAGCTGACTGAATATTCTTCCAGGCTTCTCCAGGGTGAGCACAGCTGTCGGATTCAGATATGCGTTTAGCTAGTTCTTCCTCAAATAGGGATTTAGTTTCCTGATCGAGCTGGGGGCGTAATGGTTTTACCGCCAGCTGTTTCCTACGTCCGTTCAGTCGTAAGCACACACGAGCCCGGACCAGTGCGTGATCGGTATCTACACACGTGTTCCAGAAGGAGCGACAATCTCCTACCGACCCACGCCAACGATAGCTTATTGCTATGTGGTCTATTTGTGTCCAGCGTTGGTTTGATGATGGGGGTCGCCAGGTTAAACAGTGTCTCTCCTTGTGTTTAAAGTTAGTGCTTACAAGAAACAAATGATTATCTGAACAGAACTGTAGGAGACGGTCACCGTTGTCGGTTCGCTGGCACGGAACTCCATAGGTGCCACCGACATCCTTCTCAGATTGACACAATTTCCCTACTTGAGCGTTGAAGTCACCAGCTAGAACGACTATATCTGAGCGTTTAGCCTTTCCACCAAACTAGACAGCTTTTGGTAGAACTCATCCTTCGTTTCATCCGAACTGCAGTCAGTGGGGGCGTAGGCGGAGATTACGAAAAGGCATCGGCGAGTAGTGCAGTCCTTTCTCCTTCTTACTGATCCGTTCAGACGGACAGCACACATTCGGCTATCTACCGGGATCCAGTCAAGCAATGTCTTTTCTGCCCTAGTACTCAGAGCTATCCCTACGCCAGCTAATCCCCGTGAACTAGCTGTGGCATCTCCTGACACCCTCAAGGTGAATTTTGAAGATTCATCCTGTTGGCCAGGTGGGGTTAGGTGAATAACCACACTTGGGTCTTGTATGCGTGTTTCTGAAACACAACATACATCAATGGCTCGAGATGCCAGGGTCTTAGCTAGTGATGCTTGTTGTCCTATTTGGCAAAGTGTCCTAACATTAAATGCTCCTATATGAAATTGGTGGCGTGGCTTTAGGAGACTATCGGTGGTGGTTTTTTGGCTTTCGTCGTTTTTAGTGGACACAGAGTGAAGAGGGAGTGAGGAGCCATCAAGTAGAGGAGTTGCATCAGTGGAAGGAAGGTAAGAAGATAGAGATGAAGATGAAGACAAAGATAAGTGAGGATTAGAGAGGTTTTGTGTGCATTTCGGATTGTGAGGGCGATTGTTACTTCCCGGCTGCCCACACCGTGGAAGTTGGTTGCGTGACCGCAGAGCCCAGGGGACAACTGCTTGAGGCCGGTCACACGCGGCCTGTTTTTGTTCGTTCTTTTTTGTTTGGTGTGCCTCAGTAGCATACTTATCACTCCCGCCCTGTGACACGGCAGCAGGAAGCGCGGTCGTTGTTAATCCGGGCCACGGCCGATCCGGCATGAAATTTTGTGAATTTGTATTGGACATGGTATTGGATGGGGTAGCTGCTTTTTGTTTAACCGCTATCCAAACAACCTGCCTGGCATGGTAGAACCTCAAGAGACATAAGTCTCAGCCAGTATAGCTTGATTAGGTCATTGCGGTGTTCAAGCCCGACCACCACGTCAAGGTAGCAGCTTTCGGTCGGGTCATCGGTGGTGAGTAGTTGTCCTCACACCCGATCTGCTCTACTTCACTGACCATCATGACTTCCCGTTAGAACCTAGGTAACCACCTATCTGATACCCTATTCAGGTAGGCAGTCGTGCTATATCGTGAATTGGCAGAAGTTGGAATTCACGAGCCATCTGGTTGGGTGGGTGTGTATTGATGAAGAGTCCCAAACTGGGACGAAGCAGTTGTCCAGTACTCCCATTTTTTTCAATAGTTCTCTAACAAATATCAGTTCACAATTAAATCCGGAAACCAATCAAATCCCTGCAGCCAGCACTTGAATAAATTTGATGGTCTAAAAATGGATAATTTTTTTTACCACATCTACATTCTAACCGTAAAAGTTAAAAAAATAATAATAATACAGAATTTTGCGAGCTATCAACCAATTGTATCGAGTTGTAAAGATACCTCATATGAACTGAAACCAAATTGTAAATAAAAATAGCATCCTCACCTTCCGGAGACTTGCTGTAAACATGACGCATTCAAAAAGTGGTCCAATGGCATTCAAAAATTTATCAAGATATGGTCTTTTGCGAACGTACACCTAAAGAGGAGAATAAGCAAAAACATCAAACAAAATTAACTTCAAAAATAAATTTATAAAAATATCAACGCACACAGGTGAAATACTCAACTATATCAGCAGTAACCCAATTACTCACTCACAAAAGAAACTGTGTGCAGACATTGTTTAAAATAGTTCAAACACATTGTAGCACTTCAGAGTTGAAAAGAATTGAAGAAAAATACCTACAAACGGTCTTCAAAAGGAATGGTTATTCACAGTGTTTAAAATAGAATCACAACACCAACAAGAAACCATCATCAAAGACCACAAGAAAATTCATCCTACCATATATAAAACAATATCTCTCAAATAACGGCTAGAATATTGAAACCGTTTGAAATGGAAACAGCACACAAGCCAGTCAGATCACACTTAATTCGATATTGTGCAAACCGAAAGATCCAACAGAAAAAGAAGCAAGATAAAATTAATACCATTTACAAAATAAATTGCATGTATGAACTGTAACAGACATTACATCGGTGGTCCAAGTGGGCGTCCCCTTCGAATCAGAATCCAGAAATACAAATCAGCTGTGAAAAGACACGTCGGTGGCACCAGTGGTTGGGACTCTCGCCGACCATCCACATGGTCCGAGGTTCGATCCCCTGCCGACGCACACCTGATATCTATGGTCGGCCTGCAAAATTCGGACTACCGACATCACATGCTGAAAATTCCATACTTGTACCAAAAATACAGTGTGGAATCAAGCTGTTATCAAAAAAAAGATATATATTCTTTCAAATTAATGCATATAGACAATTATGGACATCAGTTTGATAACTGGGATAATGTCGAAATTTTAGACAGAGGAAACGCGGAAAGTGCAGTCAGGGAATTCCTAGAAGCCTGGTATTCAAACGAAAATTCAACTAACAAACACGTTAATATAGACCAAATAAACCAACTAATAAAAAGTAAATTATGTGACGAGGAAGTTTTAAATCCAAGTCAACAAAAAATGATCAATACATATGTGAAGATGGTTACTGGGAGACACAATCCCATCACTCATGAAAAATTTAAATCATTTCACTTTATGCTAAAAATTGCACTGAAGGGGGATGTTGTCCAGAAGGAAGACAAAATCTCGGCAACTAAACCAACCAGCTCAGAGAACACTATTAATTACAAACCATCCACCTGAGCTACAAATCTTCTCCATTATTTCAAATGCCTATAAAATCAGCACACGACTTGTGAAAACAGTAATATCGATATCATAATCAGTACTAACAAGTTCTATACAGAAATATAAACAAGTTAAACCGGAATAGATGAAGGTCTATAAAAAGATCTCAAGATTATTGACAATAAATTACATGCAACACCATGATTAACACCACTTAACGAATAAACATCGAGACCGACGAAAATACAAAAAGGTAGACAACTACAGGAAACAATAGTTCCCCGTAAAAAAACCTTTCCCTCAACAAAGCACTCCCCGTCCCTTACAAACAACCCATGACGGTCAATTAATCAGATCGAAATATTAACAATAAAGTTTGAAAAGAATTTTTTGGGGCAAATGAAGCACAACAAAGTTAAGTCATACGGTAAACTAATAATTATATAATGAATACATATTCTGACTGACCGCATTAAGTTGAACATGACGTCAAGTTACTGAATCTTCGTCAAAAACAAAGTGGCTAAGAAATGCGTAACACATGACGAATGGTCGCCTTTCTTGACGACCTCTGTTAAAAATTATCGCAGAAGAGCTAGTATTGGTGGTTACAATAATATACAGGCCAATTCGAGGTTAGACTGCACAGACAGATATGTGGTCTGGATTGGTCCAACAGACACTGGGAATCAATAGTTGGTGACACTCTGAGAAAGACAGTATATCAAATGTTGGTTTGCATGGGGAGTTTGATTGGTTACGGATTTTATCTCTTAGGGAATCATCGGAAAACCTGGTAGTACTGAACACACAACTGACAGAAGTTGGAATCTATGAGGCATTGGATCAAGTGCCAATAGCTGAATGGTCTACGAATTCACCTTGTTAAATGGAAGGTCCTGGATTCGATCTCCAATGAGTGCGTACTGCTGAAAAGATATTATATCCCTCCCTATCCTTGAATCTTTGGAATTTTTATTCATAAAATTATTTTTCTATCACACAAGTTTATCCAATACAAACAATATGATTACAGTCTTGCCCCCTTTTTTTCATTTGGTTTTTTAATGTGAATGCGTACACTTGTATAGGTAAGATGATTTATGCTGTGATTTGTGCGTCACGACAAAGTTAGTTAAGAAGACGGAATATGTAAAATAATTGTGAATTTATGACTCTCAACTGGTCGGTAATCTCAAGAGTAAACTTTTCAAGATGATAAACAACATAACACCAAATATTTGAAAAGAATTCAACCCTCACCATATAGGACAAGTTTACAAATACCAAAATGGTGGATACAAAAACTGCTAGTTAAAATAACACGGATGAAACAAAGAGTATAAAAAAATGGAAAACTAATCAACTTTACGCCTATTAACGCGCTGCTAGTATACAATATATGACAAAATGGAACTAAAGAATACGAGATACATTCTGCGACACATTTCACTAAAATAACTTATTCAAAATAAATGTCATTTTAAAATGTTATTAATAAGGCATCGTATACTGAACCAGTACAATGGATTCTAACGTTACTAGACACTATCTAGGTTCACTTAACTGGACAGTAAAGCCAATACTAACCACACATTATTTGGCCTATCTCCAGATGTACAAGTGTATTAGAACAACACTTGTTTCTTCACGAGGAATGATATATATACAAATTGATATTGACTGTCTGTTTTCGACATAGAACTTTGCACCGATGTGCAGCAGCTCAAATCACCACACTCCATGTAGCACACAAGGCAAGAGAAGAATCGCATAATAGAGACAGTAAGTTGAGGTGTGAGACAAAAGAATAGTAATAACGAAGAACAATATAGTTTCATTGGAGATGATAAGTCACATGGAGTGGATGCAGCTGCACCAGCCATTGAGAACGATTTTGAGCTAGCCATATCACCAATTGTTACCAGCCATTGATTATTACCGTCCCGAGAACCCCAACTAGCCAGTCAGGAAGTCTACACCATCCTACGTGGCTGGCTGGCTTAAACTAACTGTTGTGGATTTCATTGACTGGTTGCATGTTTTAGTTTGACCACTAATGGCTTTCTCTTTTCCAGCCTGACCCTATGTCAGCTAACATTGCTTGTTGTCAAGGAAGGCGATGACTAGGCATGCATGCGTAACACATGTCCTAACTAACTCAATCGATGTAATTTCACAGCCTCGTTGATTGATTTGCCCTCCTACCTACCTATCACTCGACCGATGCCTAACTTCGATATTGCTCATCACATTATACCACTTCACACGTGCGACAGAAGGCAGGCACCTATGATCGAAGACAGCTAATCTTTTCATGTCTTCCACTCTCAACGGCCAGGTCTAACAGCCATAAAGGAGGACGGAGTCAGCCGGATATCACGTCTACTAAGCCAGAGACGGAGTAAACTGGCATGTGCGGAACTAGCCCTCTGTATCCATTCTGAGATTTCGTCAGAGATCAACCCGTTGGCACTGGCTGATGGTAATTCCCAAATAGGTGAAGCGGTCAACGTGCCCTACCACTTCACTCCGTATTTCTAAACTAGGAGTCAGTGTAGTCCTGTCCTGTAACATCATCTTACATTTTACGGGAGTGAATCGCATGCCAACCATTCGTAGATTGCAGCTCAAGGTGTTCAGAAGGCTCTGCATTTTGTCAGCGTCTTCATCCAAAAGGCAGGACTGTATCATCTGCATATTCTAAGTCAACGAGATTATTCTCTGGTAGCAAGTCAATCCCTGAGTCTCCGCATGTTTTGGCTTAACTACCTATAAATACTTTTGTAACGTTTCCTACGAAACTTAAAGAGTGATCTATTTAGTCGATGTGGAAAAAACTTGACACTTTGGTGGTTTATCAGTTTTAATTGTAAAATCAGCGACGAATTTAAAGATGCAGTACAAACAAGTGATTGACACTATACATTAAGAAAGAGATTCTCACACAAATGAAAGTAATGATAATAGCTGTATTAACCAGTGTATTAAATTATTTCTTTTTTTAAACAGAGGGACTTAATTCGACCCTTACATAATGTACTCATACATTAAGATTGACTAAGGATATCAAAAAGTGATTTTACACAAAAACGACAAAAGAAAGAAACATATGACCCAGAAAGAAAACGACAGAGAAGAGAAACAAATATAACTACTGAGTGTTGGTTTGTAAGGGACTGATCGATCACAAGCTTGCCTTGTAACCGGAAGGTCCTGGGGTTCGAAACACAGTGGTTGGGTGTGCACCGATGAGGAGTTCCAAAGTAGGACGAAATAGATATCCAGTGGTGCCTAGTTTTCCAGTGGTTATCATCTAACTGATGTCAGCTCATGATCAAAACGGAAATATAACTTAAACAGAAATATGTAACAAAGAATATTTTTAGGTGTTGGTTTGTAGGGATTTGGTTGGTTACAGGATTTCATCATGGGCTGACATTGGTTAGAGAACCATTGGAAAACCTAGGAGTACTGGACAGCTATTTCGTCCTAGTTTGGGACTCTTCAGCAGTACACACCCACCGGGAATCGAACCTAGGACCTTCTGGTTACAAGGCAAGCTGACTCGTAAACCATTTAACCACAGGGACCCGATCCAATGGCCCATGAATTCTAACTTCTCCCAATTCACGACATAGACATAGCACGATCCCTAGTCAATGTCTTCAGCATGTATTTGTGCTCACACCCGACCTGCTGCACCCTACTGGTCACAACTTCTCACTAGAACCCCTACCTGAATAGGGCAAGTCGCCAGTGAGCATCTCATTGATAATCAAGTCATGCTTTGTAGGGATTTGATTGACTGGTTACAGGATTTCATCATGAACTGACATCA